ATATCGGTTGGATGAGCAGGAGTTACTTCCCTGCTATATGTGCATCTTGTTTCTTAGGAACTAGGTTAGCACGCCCTAATTAAAAGGTGGTTTGTTTAAACCTTTTTTCGATTGGGATGGATTCACACAGCTTGCTAAAGTAAAAACTATCGCTAGTCCTCAACTTAACAACTTCAGTTGGGAACCAGAATTTCCATTTGCTAATCAGGGTGCTTGTTAAGCGAGTCGGGCCCAATTATACGGCCTTTTTTGTTTTTTGTTTTGGCCATGAGTATGAATCATGAGGTCGTTAAAGTGAATCTGTCGTTGCACATTGACTTCACTTGTTGGAAGCCGGCTGGGGAAAATCACAAATAGTGGGTCATGTGAGCCAGGATTCGGCGACTGTCAGAAATGCATGCTGGTTTCCAAAGCGCCTGAATTTTGATCATGGGACTGTGAGGAACGCTGCAAGGGTTGCAAGTGTGAGGACCGGTCAAAAATCAGTTGAGGATTCCATCTTATATCATGATACAGTATAACGGTATTTTATGTAGACTCTCCTTTGGAATAACAGAATAGCAGATGGAATAACCAAATAAAACAGAGTTGGAAGGGACCTTGTAGGTCATCTAGTCCAACCCCCACCCCCCAGTCCAAGCAGGAGACCTTATACCATTTCTGACAAATGGCAGTCCAGTCTCTTCTTGAAAATCTCAAGTGATGAAGCTCCCACAACTTCTGAGGGCAACTTCTGTTCCATTGGTTGATGGTTCTCACTGTCAGAAAGTTTCTCCTTATTTCCAGGTTAAATCTCTCCTTGATCAGTTTCCATCCATTATTCCTTGTCTGGCCTTCAGGTGCTTTGGAAAATAGCTTGACCCCCATTCCTCTCTGTGGCAGCCCCTCAAATATTGGAGCACCGCTATTATGTCTCCCCTGGTCCTTCTCTTTACTAGACTAACCAAGCCCAGTTCCTGCAACCGTTCATGGTATCTTTTAGCCTCCAGTACCCTAATCATCCTCGTCATGAGACTAGACATACCAATTCCTGCAACAGTTCTTTACATATTTTAGCCTCCAGTCTCCTAATCATCTTGGTTGCTGTTCTCTGCACACTTTCTAGAGTCTCGATATCTTTTTTTATATCATAGTGATGAAAACATTTAATTACTGCTTTCTCCCACTCCCTTTCTGCTGGCAACTAAAAAGACCAAAGAAGTATCTTTTAGTTGACACCTATGTCCTGTTGTTTATTAGCTCAGCTGATTCACAGGGCAGAGTGGATTGCTGAGCCTCAGCTGAGGTAAAAAAAACAGCAGAGCTCACCAGCGTTGATACAGAGGTGGTCTCTGCGCTCTGCACATGCATGTGTGAAGTGTGCATTAGGTATGCCTGCACAGTTCACCAGTGTTGATGCAGAGGGTGGTGTTTGAGCCCTACGCATGCGCATGTGAAGCGCGCAATCGGTGTGCATGAAGCACACAATTGGCACATGTGCGGCAAAGTCCACCACTCTGCAGAATGCTGATGGATATTTATTGTCCACTAAAAGCTCACAGGATCCTTTTCAACTCTTCCCGAGGCAGTGCAAATGCTCCAAGCATTGGGCATCTGACAGTTGATCCTGACAGATGGATTTGGGATGCCCCCATAGAAAGGAGAAGGAAGCAGTCAAGAAGGACAGGAAGGGTCTTTCCATTGGGCCCCAAATGAGCAAAAACCCTGATTAAAAGACTTTAAGGCTGGAGAAAACAGGCAGGATACAACGAGGTTATTATTCATGAGAAGCTGCCAGAGCGGAGGCCAAAATGAAACAGCTGCTTTTACAGCTTGGTTTGGCAGACTTGTGATTTAATAAATTGCATGTTTCAAGAAATAAAATGACAGCCTTCCTGTCTGGTTCTCCAGAGACGATTGCCTCTGAGTGTGAAGGCTTCTAGTTTTGTGTCTCTAAAACTAAGGAAGTAGTCCTCATGAAGCCTTCCTGATCACCTGAACTATCCCAGCCCCCTTCTCTTTTTGCAAAGGTTGTCCTATCCCCCTTGCAAAACACAACCACGCTACCACAGTGTTCCTCAACGTTTGGCACTTGAAGAAGGGCAGACTTCAACAAGGCCAACAACTTGAGCCCTACAATACAAGTTTCTCTCAAACAAATGCCCAGAACGTAGCAGAGAATGGAACAGTAGAAAATAGGTGCAGCAATTTTTTTTTTGACTCTTGAGAGTTGAAGTCCACCCGTCTTAAAAGTTGCAACCATTGAGAAACGCAGCACTAACTGATAGGGTGACAAGGAAGAGGATGTGAGAGGCCCCGTCTTATGCAAAATTGGTTTATTTGCAGTGCATCATCTCCTTGGCTGCGTCAAATTGATTTCTGAGGAAAGCAAAGAGGAACTTTAAAAGGCTTGAGCACGCCTCCTTCCCCCCCCCACCCTTTTAATAAAATGCTAATATGGGTTGAATAAATTTTATGGAAAAGTCACTCACGACACAAAAGCAGGCTTTTACCATTCCTGCTTCCAAAATGCTGTGAAGGCTGGGTGAAGTTTGTTGAGGCAGGTAGTCCTGGACTTAACCACCATTCGTTGAAGGACCCTTTGAAGTTAGAGTGATGGATTCCTGCGCGAGCAGGGGTTGGACTAGAACTGATGGTGAACCCATGACCTGTGGCACGCAGAGCCATTTGTGCGGCTCTGTGCTAGCCAATCTTAACTGCACTGCACATGGGTATTTCCGGAAGGCCCATTTTTCAGCCTCCCGAGGCTGCGGAGGCTTCCCTTCAAGCCTCCGGGAGGGCGAAAGCTGCCTCAAACCGGCTGAAAATCAGCTGGAAGGCGCACGCATGCACAGTGCAGGTAAGGGGGCGGGGGTGTTGCACGCAGATGCGCAGGGGGAGCAGGGCCCATTGCATTGTGGGTGCCAGCACGCACGTGTGCTGTTGTATGCGCTGCTGTCAGCACACCCCCACAAAAAGGTTCGCCATCACTGGACTAGAGAACTGCCAAGGCCCCTTCTGACTCTTCTGGAGGAAAAAAAGTGATGTATGCCCATTTTTCGCACTTATGCCCATTCCAGTATCCCATGGCCATGTGATCGAAGTTACGACACTTGCCAACTGACTCACGACGGTTGTAGGACTCCAGGGTCACGCGATCCCTTTTTTGCAACCTTCTGACAAAGTCAGTAGGGGAAGCCAGGTTCACTTAACAACCGTGTGACTAATTTAACAACGTACTTAACAATTGTGACTGGAAAAGTTTTAAAATGGGGGTGAAAAAAAAAAACCCACGTAACACACGTCTCACTTAGCAGTGGAAATTTTGGGCTCCACTCTGGTCATAAGTTGAGGACTGACTCTCTTTAAGGTCATGAAAGGGAGCCAAATTCACGGCTGTCGCTGGATTGTATGTGAATATAGTTTAAAATGCACAGAATGATAAATGTGATAGCGTATTATGGTAGAGATAAGAAAACAACAGTTCTAATCAGGATGTACAACACTATGTAGTCAAAAGAGATTATATTGTATATGACCAGGAGAATAATATATAACCAGGATGTATACTATGATGTAAAAAAAAAAAGGACTTGATTTAAGTACACTGAGGTTGTAAAATTGGAAGTGAGACGAATAATAATGAAAAATGTTCAATAAAAATATTTTTTTTAAAAGAACGAAAGAAAGGCAGGCCCAGCAGTAGGACGGGAACTTGAGGAAGGAAGTTTAGATATCTCCACCACCTTCTAGCCAACGGGAAAAAAAGGGCCGTAGGGTTTAGCAGGAAGAGAAACGCCATTACGTTCTCGTAGGATGGTAGATCCCATATGCCTCGACCACCTGTCAGTGGGATGGGATGGGATAGAATAGAATAAACATAGAATAAACACAGAATAGAATAAGAATAAAGAATAGAATAAGAATTAGAATTAGATTTAGATTTAAAATAGAATAGAATAGAATAGAATAGAATAGAATAGAATAGAATAGAATAGAATAGAATAGAATAGAATAGAA